GCAATACTTTAGAAACAAAGTTGATTGGACTTGATGAATTAATATGGGGGATGGGGAAGAGAGGAAACAAGTAACTTCAGGAGGAAACAAGTAACTTCAGGTGGCTTCACTCGCACAACTTGGTACATGATGGCGCCATTAACTGAAATGGAAAATACTGGGGTTAGGTTAGGAGGTAAGTATGCGATCAGATTTTCAATTTGAGGTGTCAGGTTTGAGATGTCTGTTGGATACACGTGGAGTAAGCAACCTGCATGAGTTTAAGGAGGGAGAGGGAGGACAGGGCTAAAGATGGAGATTTGGGCATCATCGTAGTGGATAGAATAACCCCGGGAGATAGCATGCACGAAGAGCTGGCAGGCTGAATATGGAGCCTTGGGAGCAGCTGCTGAAATAGGAGGAGGAGGAGTGGAGAAGAAGGGAGAGTGGAAGTATGGTGTCCTTGAATGTAAGAGAAGAATGTGTCTTAAGAATAGGATAAGAAACTGCACAGGAGCCACCGAGAGTTCGGGAAAAAAAATCGGGGCAGATTAGTAACAAACGGTATCACCAACATGGAGGTCACTGCTGACTCAACAACAGCGACCTCCTTTGGTGTGAAGGGCACGAAATCTTGATGAGGTAGACTGAGGATAGAACGGAAAGTAAGGATGTCGAAACAGTTTATTATTGCCATTTTATCAATGAAGAGATCGAAGCTCAGAATGGTTAACTTTCTCATCTAAGGTCAAAGCCAGCGGGGTCAGATCCCGGACCCAGAGTCCATGAAATGGTTTGGTAAAGGGAGGTGCACGCGATCCAGTATGCACTCACAGAAGCCCTGGGTTTAAAGCATTCTTTCACGATGCCACTTCAGTGTTAAAGAGGAAAACGAGAGGGCCTGGATTGGGCTAGAAAACTGCACGGGCGCCTAATGCGTTCTCAGCCGGGAGAGAAGGACCGCCCCTTTTCCGCAGCCCGAGCCCGGCGCGGCCCACTGCGGCTGCGCAGCCCGGGCGGGGCGGGAGCGCGCCAGCGGGGGGCGGGAACGCGGAAGGGCCGCGACGCCGAGAAGAGAGCGGGCCGGGGGCGGGGCCGGCCGTGAGAGTGCGGGGCGCGCGGTGACAGGTGAGGGCGGCGGCGGCGGCGGCGTCCTGAGGCCTGAGGGGAGCAGACGCGGCGGCGATGCTGGAGACCCTACGCGAGCGGCTGCTGAGCGTGCAGCAGGATTTCACCTCCGGGTGGGTACATGGTGGGGGATGGAAAGGGGCCCGGGGGGCCGGACCGAGGGGCCGGGGGCGCGCGGGACGCCGCTTCTCTCCCCTCCGCGTACCCCAGTCCAGTCCCGTCCCACCGCACCTCCCATCCCCGCCCCGCCGAGGAAAGTAACGAACTTTCCGGGGTCGGTGCAGCGACCCAAAGTAACTTCGGTCTCACCCGGCGGGCTCTGACCCGCGTCCCGGAGCCAGGAGGGGGTCGGGAAGGCAGCGGGCGCGCCGGGGATTGTGCGACCCTCTCCCGGCAGCTCCAGCCGGCCCGAGGGGGGCTCGTGTGACCGGCGAGCGCGCCTCCGCGCCCCTCCCGCCACCCGAGGACCGTGGTCCTGTGCCCCCTCCCACGCTGCCGAGACCCCTGCCCGCTCGGGCCTCGGGGCTTCTGCGGCCCCGCCCCAGGCCGAAGGTCGCCGGCCCCCGCAGCCTTCACCGGCTGGGGCCCAGCTGCGCGTCCTGTCCGGCGCTTGGCTCGCTTGCTGAACCCTTGGCAAGGCTTGGCGCTTCTTCCCCTTTTGCTTTCTCTACCTTTGCCTCGGGTTTCACGCCTCAGTGGAGAAACTCTAGGGAAACAGAAACAACAGAACTACAGCAATATTGTTAATAATACCTACTGGTGGAGCGCACACAGACCAAGCCGGTCCCGAACTTTGCTTAGAATCACCTGGGAACGCTTAACCATCTTGCCCAGGTCGCAAACCATACCAGTTACATCAGAGTGGGAATGGAGTTTTAAAGGCCCCCAGGTGATTCCAGTGTGCAGAATCTGGGAACTACAGGCGTAGACTCTAACGCGGGACTGCCTGTGTTCTTACCTCTACCACTTAAGCAAACGTATTTCTACAAATTACTCTGCCTCGGTTTCCACGACTCTACAGTGGAGGTCACTTTTATAAGGGAGCTGTCTGTCACCTTTAGATTACGAATCCTTTGGTGAATGCTCTTAATATGAGGGACAAAAATGTTTATGTTGTTGGGCTGTTGGGTGCAGAGTGTTAAACTGGCAAATACTCGAGCACTTAGCACGTGTGAAGCATGTTTGATAATCTTAGTTTGGTGTCCTTAAGAATATTAATTATTGGTGATCTGGGAGTCATTCGTTGATGGTGTGCTTGTTTCCCCCCCTTTAAGTTTGAAAAGTAACTTCTTTTCAGAATGTTAATTATTATATTGAAAAATGTTGGTATGATACTGGAATGACAGCACGAGAATGTTCGTAGAGAAACGCGTCTGGTACAGCCCTGTTGTCATTGCTTCAAGGAATTCCTTGATGGTTCAACAGTCGGGTAGTTACTATAATTCTGTAGATCATGTGGTTATCTCAGAACCCATTTATTCTCTTGAGCTTTGCTTAAGAAGGTTCAGCTTACCTAGGAGTGTGGATTCTGGATCCAAACCATCCTGAGAGATCTGGAAAACCTGAGTTTAGAGTTAGGAAGAGGATTGAGACGATCTGGTTAGGAACTGACTTGAAAACTGATTTTACCTCTTGCAGATGCTATAAACTGGGGCCAGTTTGGGACTGGACATCCTGAAGGCTGTCATTCTCTGTAGGCCCTTTGTTGGTTTCCTTGTACAGGTCACTTTCAGCTGACAAACCACTGGGCTGTCTGTGTGCTACTAGCCCATCACCTGGCAGAGAAATAGCTCATCTCCAAGTGATGTCTGTCTGCCCGTTGACTGGCAGCTGTAAACTCTGATGTTCACTTTTGTCAGGTCCACAAACTCCTGTGTGGTTCTTCATGAGAAGAAATCCACGTAATTCAATTTAGTAAACTCATAGTCAGCCTGAGATCAACCTATTTTTGCGTATTTTGCCAGGCTGAGAAAAGATAAAAATTAAACACAGCTTCACTTGTCTATTGCATTGGATTCAGAGATGAAAGCAGCATGGCCCTTACCTATCAAAACTGTCAGACTAGACCTGCATTCTTATAGAACACTTGCTGTTGGTGCCCACAGAAGCCGAAACAGCTGGCTTCTAAGATAATGGGAAACTTCAGCTGTTTGGGTTGCCCCAGGAACTCAGTAGGAGAGAGGCCTGGGGCTTTCCTGAGCTCCTTCACAGTTCCCAGAGCAGCAGCCTCTCCTCAGGGCTTTTCTGCTCATTTTCAGTTTCTGAAAATTCATATAACTGGAGCTGAAATGTAGGCAGCTTACTTTTTTAAAAAAGTAAAACTGGATTATTCTTTATCAGGCTCACAAGAGAATGTCACATTAGTGATTAAAGCATGTTTGAAGAACACAGTGAATTTCAGTCTTCCATTCAAACTCAGAAAAAGTGCAACTTGAGATCAGTTAAGGGCAGTGGAGAGGCTGCTGGTGGCCTGCAGGGGACTTTAAATTGTCCATGGACTCACAATCTTTTTGTAAATTTTTATTCATAATAACAGTTACGTCAGAATCGAGATAAACCTCGATTGTGCTGCTTTCTTTCTGACCTAAGAGGTTGGCCAGCTGGTCCAAAGGCCACGGGACTAAGGGGACTGATTCTGGGCTTCACTCTGTTCCCCTTGCCTACACCTACGTGAGTCCTAATCTGATTTAACTCATTCAGAACTCTTGGAGCCTTTTGGAGACTTCACACAGAACATCCACTTTTTAGGGATTGACTTGAGTGCTGAGGGAAACTTTTGGTCATACTGAAGCACTTCAAATCCACTCTGGTCTTTGATTTTTACCATTTGAGCAGTTATGACCCATGGCCTCCGGATTGAAGTATTCAGGCATGCAAAACCCTTCAGGAAGCTAAACATCAGATTTATCAAGGGGTTTACAGTTGCCTGTCACTGGCTGGCATTTCCTGTTTGTAATGCTCTGGGTTCTTGTGGGTACAAATAGAAGCTGGTAGTTATTACTTGTTGCAACCAGACCATGGGTGTCTCCTCCTCAAAGCCACCTCTGCCCTGACCTCCACCCCTGCTCAGCATGCTTATTTTCTCTTCTCTCTTCCCTGCAGTATCAAAACCTGCTCAAAGGAGAGGATCTAACAGTCTAATTCAGAGTGCAGTAAAATGGTGAGGTTTTCCCTAAAATGTTGGCTCTTTCATGATTACTTTTTAATAAGCAGGGAGAAGAATCTCAATATTCACCTTGATTTAAAAAAACATTTTATTGAGTTCTCACCAAGTGTCAGACACTAGGCTAGGAACTCAGTGTTCTTTTACATATATGCTTTTTTTTTATTTCATTACAAAGGAAAATTTAAGAGGCCACATGCTCAGGTTTGCCTGATCTTTGCCGGTGTCTGTGTATCAGGCTAGATCCTGGGGCTACAGAGTAGACTGGTGGTGACATAAAGCAGAGCAGAAGGAACTAAATGACAGATGGAAGTGATGTGGTTTGTAAGTGCAGAGGAAAGAGTCATTAGTTCAGATGGCTTCACAGAGGAGGTGGCTTGTAGATTTGGCCTTGAAAGATGGGGATAGATTTGGGTGAGGGCCTTTCAGAGATGAAGCTCTTGTGGGAGAGGAACCTGGAAAGAAAGTTTAGTGACTGACAATAGAGGATCTTCAGTGCTTTGTTAAATTAATTCATTTATCAAATATTTATTGAGTGCTTACTCTACTGACAGGCACTACTCTAAGAGCTAGAGATATAGCAGAGAATGCATGCACCAGACAGCAAATGACATCCCTGTGCTCAGTCTCCTGGCCGGAGGTAGAATATCTAGAAGGTGGTAGTACTATCACTAAAAGTAAAGCGGGTGAAGGGGTTTGGGGGATGGGGTGGTTGCTATTTCAAATAAGGTGGTCCTGGCTAATTTTTAGGTTGACTGAATCTTCTGGCCGTTTTTGCGGAGGAGAGCAGCATAAGCCTGCCTGTATTTCTGGAAGGATAATTTGAGAGGCTGTGTAATGGGAGGGCTCGGGATGGGGAGCAGGCAGGTTATTCAGGAGGCTATAATTACAGGCAAGGTGAGAGATGATGATAAGACAGTGCTGGTGGAAATTTGAAGGAGGGTATAGCGACAGGCGCTGGTGGATATCATAAAAAGTGAGATGTAGGAAGTGAAAAAGGTGGAGAAATTGAGGATGTTAATTTTGGAGTATCTTGATGTCATTTACCAACGGAAGAGAGGTTCGGAGTAGTTTTGAAAGAGAAAGAGCAGTTGACAATGAATTTGTTGTGAGGTAATTTAACTCCAAGAAACAGTTGGAAATTTATGAAATACACAGGAGAAAGGTCAGGACTGAAGGGGTGTGTCTGGGGGTAATTAGGGTAGAGATGGTCTACATTCCCCTCTCCTTCCTGAGTCTGTGCAGCTTTTGTGTGAATCGTTCAGGCTTCAGAGCTTAGGAGGTCATGTGCACTTTTAGGTGTGACTGACACGTCTGTGTTTCCCTGCTCGTGGTTTTGAAAGAAGAAAGAAAAAGTGATAAACATTAATGGGAAAATATAATAGATTGGATTTGTTTTCATAAACAGAATTTAAAGTTAGAATAATGAAGGCATGAACATGGAAACTTACAGGACAATATATGCTAATAAATACCTTGTGTGGTGTTTTAAAGCAGCCATGCTCATCTTTCAAAATAGCTGATGGGGTTCAATGAGTAGGAGAGGGAGGCGCAGATAAATGGAGTGCTGTCAAGGTCACCATGCGGGTGAGAAAGGCAGAGAAGGCACATTTCCTGTTCCTCAGTCATTGTAGCACTCCACCTCTCATTCTGGTTTTCTACTTTTCAGACTTTCTGTTTGAGCAGTTTTGCTAATTACCTCCATTTCTTAGTGATTTGCCTCCATCTTAATATTTTCTGCAAAGCTTGAAAAAAATACATGTGCTGGAGTCAAATTAACCTAAGTCTTTGGAACAGTCTAAAAATAAAATATTGTAGTGTTATGATGAATTTGAAGGTAAGTGCTTTTGAACTCAAAAGTGTACATAAATTGCTTTGCATAGAGAATAATTGTCAGGTGGCTCACTTAAAAGGCTGTGTATTATTATACTCATTAGTACTCACGTCTTCCTGGGGGTTTATGGTATCATGAAGATTTAGGAATGATGCAGAAGCCTTTTATAGGAACGGTGCATTGGGGGACCTCTACTTTGTTTTACCGTGGCTCTGTGATGTACATAGTTTCTTTTCTTGATGGTGACAGTTTGAATTATACCTTTCATTTGAATTAGCTCTATAGTTTACAGAATGCTGCTAATGTCAAAATTGGGATTTCATTTAATTCTTGTGGCAAATCATTATAGTCAATATAATACTACTGTCTTATGGTTTAGGAAACTGGGTTACTACACCGGATGAGTATTTCCTTCTCAGTGTGTCATGACATTGTGGGACATTAAATAGACTTTATTACTGGGTTGTTTCCAGCACAGAATCACTGTGAGAAACTTGTTATCCTAAAATAAAAATGGTAAGCTACTTTCAGTTGAATTCTGGATTTTGAGGATGTATTTCAGAATGGATCGTCTTGCTTTTTTGTTGTTGTTGTTGTTTGTTACTTGTTAAATGTATCTGACCTTATTTTTTTTCAAGTTAAAGTGTTACAATGACTACTATTCTTATTATCTTTTTCTCCCCTGAACTTCACTGTTTCCAACCTCCTTCTAGCTACTTTGTTTTCTCCAGCAGTTTCTATTCTGAATTTTGGCATATTGATGGTTTATATGGAGAAGATGTGATGAGATAAGATGAATATCTAAAAGACTGTTTTTGTTGTTAAAATTTTTTTACCAAGTTTTAAACATATACAAAAATAGAACAACACAGTGAACACCATGTGTTCATTATTCAGATCCAGTAGTTGTCAACTATTGCTAACAGCTGTCAGTTACTGCTTTGACTCTCCCTTATTTATAACGTTATCAGACTTATCTATTACATCTCTCATGCATCAGTTTTCATTTCTTAAAAAAAATTACATAAATGCAATGCCAATATCATACCTAGCAAAATTAACACTAATTCTTTGATATTATCAATTATCTAGTCCATAATCAAATTTCCTGGTTCCTAGAAATGTCTTTTCACAGTTGGTTTATTCAAATCCAGATCAGATATGTTCCACACATTACATTTGGTTAAAGACTAATTTTTAAAGCAGATGGTTGTTAAGGAGCCACTTGGGGAAGCTCTTACTGACCTTCCAATAATTTTATTTTCAGCTCCGTTTAACTATTTTTCTTTCTCTTTTATTTTAAACTATTTTTTCTTTTTTCTTTTGGGGAAGTGTGAAGGAGAATCCCACATTTGATAAATTACAGTTGAGAAACTAAACATTTATTTCAGAAATAAACATTTGAGATATCAGCTTAGAGATTTGCTTGGTCATAATAAATGGCCCAAAGAGGACCTGAGCGGTTCCCTTTCAATATCCTTGTAACACCTAACCATATGGAATTGTCCCAAATCACTAAAAATAATACTAGAATCATTTTGAGTATGATGCACTGCTGTGTATGACTATCCTGGTATACTTCTACCTGGAATGTCACAACTAAGTGCCTTTCTGATATTGGAATAGAGATGGTTGAGTGTGGCTATCATAGTACCTTTCCCAGCTGTTTAAAATGGATTTACTGGTTTCTAAGCAAAGGTTGAAAATTTATAGTTTCCCTAGGACAGGTTAGACTTTTAAAATTCAGCTCATCTGGAGAGAGAGATATACAAATTAGTTTTGTATTAAAGAGATTGCTAAGTCTTTTTAACACTGTAGAGAAATTGATCTCATCAATAGTTTTTGAAAGAGAACAGAGAGTAATATAAAAAGTCTTGGTGTGAAATTGACCTTGCAACTTACTAAAAAATGGCATCAGAGAGAAGTCCCTTTCTGGTGCTTAGCCAGGCATTACTGGCAAAAAGGTTGGAATTCTTTCAGGGCTTGCACATAAAGCTGTACACAACAGAGGGCTGGGCGTTAAGAGTCAGCTTGTTCGCTAGGACAGTTTCTGGCTGATTGCAGTGTAGTGTCTTGGGGAAGGAGCACTTATTTCTAGTTTTTACAAGGGCTTTGTAGAGCTCTAACTGTGGTACTGTGGCCTGTGTATCAGACTCTGTTTAGAAGTGATATTTGTGGAAGTAACCAAATTAAGAAGAATGTGTCCAGGTATCTCATTTTTATGAGATAATCTCATATTTAGCACTCAACTTTTTGGCAACCTGTTGAATGGTACAGAGTCCGCAGTCGAAGGTAAAAATTGGTTGGTGAAGTGATACAAAAAACAAAAATTGTATGAAGTTTGATGAACTTCATATTTTATATATAGAAGAGCATATTTTATTTTATATATACATTTTAGCCCATTTATCTGTTTTCCAGCCCAATAATTTAAAAAAGGAGATAGGAGGGCCGCAGGCTGTCATAGTTAAATAGTTAGCAGAAGCAGCAAGAGGTAGCCTGTACGAGACGACCCGTGGTGGAGATGGAAAATTTTAATTTGGAAAAAATAGACACAGGATCCTGAACAAACTCAGAAACTCAAAAAAGCACCTTTTACGATTGGTTTCCAGTTGGTAAATGCAGAGGCATTCCTAGCTGAGAAACACCTGAGGAGAGTACTGTTTTGGCACAAAATGTAGTCAGTGATATTCATAATAATGAGCTGGAGTTATCAGAAAACGTCCAATAGACTGTACCAGGTCCTCCTTAATAAAAAAGGTTTGTAACATATTTTAGAAAGCCTTTCATCAACAGCTAACATTTCACCAAATGTTGGTACTTAAGGGATTCAAGTGCCTGGCATAGTATCCACTTAATAAAATGTGCTGCTTAGATATCTTTGTTACGGATCAAGTTCACCAAAGGGGACCACTTTTTTCCCCTAAGGATGATGCCAGAATAATGAGGTTTTTCAGGTCCAGTCACATTTAGGAAGTTTCTAGAAAAGGGATTTGGGGCAAGAAAAATACATAAAAATATTTGCTACAAATTTTCCATATGTGATATCTGACTTACAGTAAACAAGTGTTTGTTGTCTGTAGAGGTGCTTAGTTCTTGCTAAAAAAAAAAATTAGCTTATCCAACCTCAAAGTTTAACAGCTGTGAAATATGCAGTTGAAAAAAAATCTCTTAGGCTGTAAAAATGATATTTTATACTTGTTGAATTACAGGCTGAAGACTTTAAGTGACAAGTCAAGAGAAGCTAAAGTAAAAAACAAACCCAGGTAAGCTAGTGCTGATTTAATTTACTATGACTTAAATTTCATACAACTTTTGGTTGTAATCACAGAGGTATAATTACTTTAATGGTTCTTACATCTGTTGAATGCATCTGACTAAATGATTTATTGATTCTTTCTAAATTTGGTAACACTGGAAATTTTTCTGATAAAATTGTAAAATAGTTGAAAATGGTGAAGTGTAACTGTTTTACTCTATGACAATTAATGGCTATTTGATCATAATTAATATTTTTGTTTGTATAGTAAGAGCAAAATAAAAGTTCTCCATTGTTGAGAAGCCAAGTAATAATGAAATAATACTTGACAAGTGAGCCTCTTTCGCTGTGTTATCTGTTTTATATGAAAACACTAGTACTATTTGTGCAATTTTTCCATTTTTTAATAAAGTAAAGCACATGATCAAATTTCACTTTAAACCTAAAGATGAAAAGCTTTTAAAATAATTTCTTGTTATCTGGCTTTATATTAAAGTGCCTATTGTGTTATTGTGTGCTAAAAATCTATACGGCAAAGTGATGGTTGATAGTGTATAGCAAGTGGATTAACTTTGAATAAAACAATACAAACACTAGTTTAGATAAATTGTCATTAGTGATTTTAAAATAGTCCACATTATGACTGATAGTGTCAAAATTATTGTAACTTTTTAAGTTGGCCTAAATCAGCAACAGTTTTAATAAAATAAGTGTTTCTTTTCGCAGAACTATTCCATATTTGCCAAAGTACTCTGCTGGACTAGAATTACTTAGCAGGTAAGTGTTTTTATTTAAGTGAAAGGTTATGCTTCTGACTGTTGTCTAAACATATTTTGTAGTTTTATAGATAGAAACCTCAAAACAACTAAATATTATCTTAACGTAGAGACTGGAAATTATTTACTTGTTTCCCTCAGGGGCTTTTACATTTCACTGATTAATCCAAAGGCCATTCAGTCTTTGAGCATATTGATCACTGTTGTGTTTACTATTGGGTACTTTATCATGTGCATGTATTGTTTATGATTTCTTTGTTGCAATAAAATTGATTCTGAATTTGAGTCCTTAATAATTTTCTTACTTTGATTACTTAATGTTATACCATTTCTTCTCCAATTCATTTCTGCTGTTAAAATACATGATTTTCTTAGCTATGACATCAAAAACATAAGTAACAAAGAAATAAAAAGATAAATTGAACTTTATCAAAATTTAAAACTTTTGCACTTCAAAGAACACCATTAAGAAAGTGAAACAACGGTCTGCAGAATGGGTAAAAATATTTGCAAATTATACATCTAAGTTATGTATCTAAAACATATAAAGAACTTTTATAACTGAACAATAAGATAAACAATCCAATGAAGAAATAGATGAAGAATTTGAATAGACATTTCCATAAAAAGATAGACAAATGGCCAGTAAGCACATAAGATTCTCAACATCATCAGTCATAAGGGAGATGCAGATCAAAGCCACAGTGAGATGCTGCTTCATACCCACTAGGATGGCTGTAATCAGAAAGACAAATATTGACAAGTGGTGGCAATGATATGGAGAAATTAGAACCCTAATGTTTTACTAGTAGGAATATAAAGTGGCACAGCTGCTGTGGAAAACAGTTTGGTAGTTTCTTAAAGTTTAATGTAGAATTACCATGTGACCCAGCAATTTCACACTAAGAGAATTGAAAACCTATGTCCATGTAAAAAATTGTACACAAATGTACATAGCAGTATCATTCATAAAGTAGTATTCATAAGAGTCTGAAAGTAGAAACAGCACAGATATTCATCAACTGCTGAATGGATAACCAGAATTTGGTATCTCCATTCAATGAAATATTATTCAGCCACAAAAAGGAATGAAGTACTGACCTGTGCTACACTACAGATGAAACTTTCAAACATCATGCTAAATGAAAGGAACCAATAAAAGGGGCACATATTGTATGATTCCATTTATGTGAATTGTCCAGAATAGGCAAATCCATAGAGACAAAGATAATGGTTGCCAAGGTCGGGAGAAGAGGGGATACGTAAAGACTGCAAATGGGAGAGGGGTATCTTTTCAGGGTGATAAAAATGTTTTGAAACTAGATAGTGGTGATAGTTGCCCAACTCTGTGAATATACTAAAAACTACTGAATTATGCACTTTAGAAGCAAGAATTTTATGGTATGTCAATTAAAATTCAATAAAGCTGTTATGAAAATAAGTATATAGTTACTACAAAATATTGGCTATATTCTCTGTATAATTTTTTGAGGACCCTCTATGCTGTTTTCCATAGTAGCTGCACCAATTTACATTCCCATCAACAGTGTACAAGGGTTTCCTTTTCTCCACATCCTCACCAACATTTGTTATTTGATGTCTTTTTGACAATAGCCATCTAACAGGGCTGAGGTAGTATCTCATCGTGGTTTTGATTTGCATTTTTCAGACGATTTGTGATGTTGAGTTCCTTTTCATATACCTGTTGGTCATTTGTATGCCTTTGGAAAAATGTTACGAGCCTCTACCTATTTTTTAAGCAGATTGGTTTTTTGCTATTGAGTTGCATGATTTCTTTACATATTTTGGGTGTTAACCCCTCATTACATACATGATTTACAAATATGTTCTCACATTCAGTAGGTTACCTATTTCATTTTATTGATAGTTTCCTTTGCTCTGCAGAACTTTTTTAGTTTGATGTAGTCCCGCTCGTTTACTTTTACTTTGGTATCTTTGCTTTTGGTGTCAGATTAAAAAAAATCATCACCAAGACAAGTGTCGAGCTTACTGCCTGTTTTTTTCTAGGAGTTTTATGGTTTCAGGTCTTACATTCAGGTCTTTAACTCATTTTGAGTTAAGTTTGGTGTAAAGTAGTTGTCAGTTTCATTCTTTCCCATGGGGCTGTCCAGTTTTTCCAACATCATTTATTGAAGAGACTGTCCTTTCCTCATTGTGTATTCCTGATTCTTTTGTTGTAAATTAATTGACCTTATATATGTGGGTTTATTTTGGGGCTCTCTATTCTGTTCCATTGATCTTGTGTCCGTTTTTATGCCAGTTTCATGCTGTTTTGATTATTACAGCTTTGTGATAAAGTGTGAAATCAGAAAGTGTGATGCCTCCAGTTTCTTAAGATTGTTTTGGCTATTCAGGATCATTTGTGATTCCATGCAAATTTTAAGATTGTTAGTTTCAGTTCTGCAAAAAAATGCCATAGGAATTTTGATAGGGATTGCATTGACTCTGTAGATTGCTTTGGATATCACTTTGGAGCATGTGAACATTTTAAAAATACTAATTCTTCCAATGCATGAACATAGGATACCCTGCCACTTATTTGTGTCTTCTCTAATTTCTTTAGTTAATAATCTTATAGTTTTCAATGTATAGGTCTTTCACTTCATTGGTTAAACTTATTCCTAGGGATTTCATTGTTTTTGATACAATTGTAAATGGGATTATTTTGTTCATTTCACTTTGTTTCTAGGGTATAGAAGGAGATGTTTGTATGTTGATTCTACATCCTGCAACTATACTGGATTCATTTATTAATTCTAACAATATTTTGGTGGAGTCTTTAGGGTTTTCTATGTATAATTACCATGTCACCTTCAAATAATGAGTTTTCCTTCTTCCTGTCTAATTTGGATGCCTTTTATTTCTTTTTCTTGCATAATTGCTCTGGCTATGAATTCCAACATTATGTTAAATAAAAGTGGTGAGACTAGGCATCCTTGTCTTGTTCCTGATCTTAGAAGAAAAGCTTTCAGCTTTTCACTGCTGAGTATGATGTTAGCTGTGGGTTTGTCATACATGAAATTTGTTGAAGTACATTCTGTCTGTACCCACTTTGCTAAGAGTTTTTATAAATGGATGTTGAATTTTGTTAAATGCTCTTTCTGCATCTATTGAGATGATCATATGATTTTTATCCTTTATTTTATTAATGTGGTGTATCACATCACTTGATTTGTGGATGGTGAACCATCCTTGCATGCCTGGAAAAAACCCCACTTGATCATGGTGTGTGATCCTTTTAATGTACTACTATATTTGGTTGGCTGATATCTTTCTTTGTTTAATATAAGCGTTTATAGCTATAAATTTCCCTCTTAGCTCTGCTTTTGCTTCTACCCATAGTTTTGATATGTTGTAATTTTATTTTCATTCATCTCAATATTTTCTGATTTTCCTTTTGATTTCTTGTTTGACTCATTGGTTGTTTAAAAGCATATTGTTTAACTTCTGCAAATTTGTGAATATTTCAGTGTTTGTCCTGTTACTTATTTCTAACTTCAACCTTTTGTGGTCAGAGAAGATATTTTGTATGGTAGCTATCTTTTTATTTTTTAATATAGACTTTATTTTTTTTTAGAGCATTCTCAGGTTCACAGCAAAATTGAGCAGAAGGTTCAGAGATTTCTCATATATGCCTTTAAAAATCTATCAAGACTTCATTTGTGGCCTAACACATGTTCTCTCCTGGAGAATGTCCCTTGTATACTTCAGTAGAATGTGTATTCTGTTGTTGAGCAGAGTGTTCTGTATATGTCTGTTATCTAGTTGGTTTATTCTGTTGTTCATGTTCTCTTTTTACTTACCCTCTGTCTGGTCAATTTATGCATTATTAAGAGTAGGTTACTGAAGTTTGTTATTGGAGAACTGTTTCTCCTTTCAATTTTGTCAGTTTTTGCTTTGTGTATTTTGAGGATTGTGTACAATAGTACAATTATCAAAATGAGGAAATTAACATTGACATGTAATCTATGACCTTTTTCTCATTTTGTCAGTTGTTCCGATAATGCACTTTCTTCTGGACCAGGGTCCAGTCAAGGATCACGAGTTGTATTTAGTCACCATATCTCATTCATCTCCTTTAATCGGTAGCAGTTCTTGTGCTTTCTTTGTTTTTTGTGGCCTTGACACTATTGAAGAGTGCTGGCTTGTTATTTTGGAAAATGCCCCTCAATTTGTGTGTATCTGCTATTTTCTCATGATGAAATTCAAGTTAGTGCCTTTATGGGAGAATGCTAGAAGAATAGTGTTGTGTAGTTCCAGTGCGTCATATCTTTAGGCACACGAGGTTGATATGTCTCATTAGTGTTGATGTTAGTATTGGTCACTTGGTTTAAAGAAGTGTCTGCCAGGTTTCTCGGCTCTTAATGCTGTTTCCCCTTTTAAATTAATGAGTATCCTGTGGGGAGATACTTTGAGACTGTGAAAATATCCTGTTTCTTTTCATACTTTCACCACTAATTTTAAGATCTATTACCGTTCTTACCTGAAATAATTATTATGTTTACCAAATGGTGATTTTCTATTTTTATAAATTTTTTCTACAATTATTAATTAGAATTCTGCAGGGAGGAGTTTTTCCTTTCTCCCCCATTTATTTATTCAGTTATTTCTTTAAATCACTGAATTCATGGATATTCATTTTATTCTTTGAGTGACAACCCGTTGCTGCCAGTATTTATTTTGTTGCTCAAATCGTCCCAGATTTGGCCATTGTACGTCTCTTCAAGTTGACTTCTGTGTTTTTGTAACATATCCCCATTATTTTTTGAGCTTTTCCTTTCTGACACCACTGGATGTTCCAGGTTTCTCTTTAGATAGTATTTTCTTAATGTATGGCTTGTATTTTGAGTTAGTGTTTTGCTTTTCTTAGGTATGAAGATACATGGGCTGCACTCCATAGGAGAGCCAAGGAATGTGCAAGTGCTGGAGAGGTAAGGACTTGTCTAATCTTAAACTTGTGGTAAAAATATCTTTTTGCAGTGTTAAATGCTAGTTTTTAAGAAATTAAATGTGTAATTGTATTAATGTTTTGTAGGATATCTGCAGTGGAATTTTGTAATTTATTATGACACTAAAGCACATTTTTATAATTTCTCAGTCAAGTAGTTTAGTTTCATTAGGCTTAGAGAGTTTATAACTTTTATTCTAGAGTCGTAAGTAAGCATTTGGTTCATCCACATATAATGCTTTAAATTTGAGTCTGATGCTTTTGTAGTATATGTAAATTATAAGGTGTAATTTTCTACTCACTATTTAAGAATTCCTTATTATTTGGGCAAAAGTTTAACTTTGCTTTGTCAACCTAAAACCATTAGTTTGCGTATTAGCAAATAAATATAAAAATTTCAAGAGTCATGCTTAAGTCACTTAGAAGAACAAACTATTTTCTAGCACCACAGAGTTACAATGAATAAAATTAACTTGTAATTAAAATTATTTAGTACATATATTTAAAGCTTTTTAAGCCAGGATCAAATACTCTGTGCTATTGATGCCAGTCAAGCTTTATTTCTTTCTAAAACCACTTCTTTGATTTTGATTTTAATTAATTTAGACTGAAGGCTGGAAAAAAAACAAACAAAAAACAGGGAACTGAAATCAGAGTGGTTTAAAAAAAAAAGAAAAACCAACATGGAAGCTGGGGTCAAATACTAAAACAGAAGCTTTAGAGGTTTATGTCTGTGGGGATTTTGAGACTTTGTCTATGGGGACCTGAGCCTCAGTCTGTGATTCCTACATAAAGCTCTTGGATATTTGAAGTGGCTACATCTCTCTGAAAGGTTAAGCTAGGGAGCTAAAAAAAAAAAAAAAAAAATACAAAGAAAAGCTACCTGTTGGCAAAAGGAGGCAAGGAGGAAACCTGTCTTTATGACAACTTGGAACATACCTAGTATCCTTTTCGGATTTGTTTCCGTGGTCTTGGCCTCACATGAGCGTGGGGCTCTAATTTACACTTCCTGCAAGATCAAGGAACCACTAACTTAAATGAAGGGGCCACAAGTGACTATGTTTTTTTGTCACCCAACAGAAACAAACACAGGTTCTGCAAGAATGAAGCTTGTAAACCTAGGGCTCTCAAGATTCCCACAGATTGATCCCCCATGCCCCTCCCCAAATTAACAAAAAAGCACTCATCTTCTTTATGCATGGGCTCCTTGTACTGTCTTGTGATTCTGATATTCTAGCAATTTTATTTGAAATTTAATTTGAGGATCTTCTCGCACATTGTTTTAAAATGTATATCAAGCTTAAATATAAAATTTTCTTATATAAATATTAGCCAGAACTTTGTATATGTGTTTGTCTGTGAATGCTGGATAATAAATAAAAGGCATTTTACCTGGGAGACATTCTGCAGTCGATGGCTGTGTTGGCAAACGAAGTCCACCCATTCATAAAAAACAAAATACACCAGGTTTATCCCAAGATCAGAAAGGTTGTTTTCACATTAGAAAATCTTTTAAATGCTGTTGACCACATTAACAAATGAAAAATAAATGATCATTAGATGCAGAAAATACATTCAATAAAATTACTCAGAGTAAAACATTTTAGCAAGTTTTTAATAGAAGATAACTTTTGTCCTGATATCTACCCAAACCTGCAGGATCTGACTTGTAGTATATTTATCCCATATTCAGTCATCTTGCTAAAAGCTCTTATTCTAATAATTTGTATTCAGGGATAGGAGTTGTTTTGTGTAGATGGAAGGGAAGGGAAAAAACTTACCAATCTTTCATTTCTTCATGGCTTTTTATAGTGGGTAGAACCTCCAATATAACATTAAATAAACGTAGCTAAAGATCTTGGTTCAAATTTTGGCTCCATCAGAGTTAAATGTGAAAGGAAAAGCTATACATCTTTCAGAAAATAGTAGAAAATCTTTAAGAGCTCAGGGTAGGGAAAGATTTCTTAAATAAGGCATAATCACCAGCAACAAATTAAAATATTGATCATTTTTATCAAAGCTTCTGTTCATCAAACAACACTATGAAAAAGTTAAGCAAGTCATGAAACAAAGGACAAGTGTTCAAAAAAAATATGGAAAACCTCTACAAACCATTAAAAGGGAACAATTACCTAATAAAAAGAGAGCAAAAGGTATGACCAGGCGTTAATACCGAAAGAAAAAACATGAGTGGCCAGTGAACGTGGAAACGTGTCCTCACTCGATTAGTATTCAAGGAAATACAAATTAAAGTCTCAAATTTACACTCATTAAATTATGAAAAACTTAAGAAGCCTTGAATTTTCTGTGCAGACGGTCATTATTCATAGATGACAGTCTTCCTGTCGTCACAGATGATGAGGAACAAGTAGAACTAGGGAGTTCACATCGATGGACACAGTCATGTTAGAAAAAGTCAGTTGGCATAAAATAGGGGTTGAAGTTGCACATGCCTTTCAAGCAGTGGTTCCACCCCTAGGGGTGCTTCCAGAGCACTGCATCCTTAGCTTTCTCCTGGTAATGTTGGTATGACATAGAGTTCCTTGGATAACATTGACGTGGTGTCATCCATTCGCTGTGTGACAAGTAGCTGAGAGTACTTGAAGTCCGAGGTGGCTAGGGGAGGTCTAGTTACTCCAAGCCCTGTGGAACTACTCTGGGAGGTGACGAGCTCAATGTCTTTGACATGTCAGTAACTAATTTGTGAAAATTGTGTATATGCACCAGGAGTTTTGTATGAGAATACTAGAGGATTTTAGTGAAACTTGAGACAGTCCCAAAGTCCAGCTATAGAGTAAATTATTATTCATGAAATCAGATATTGTACAGCAGTGACAATTAGTGAACTGCTGCACTGTATCAGCGTGAATGAGTCCCACAGTGTTCGATGAAGACTATATCCCGTAGAGGAGCTTTAACAAAACTTACTGCTTTGATTGTAAGGAGTGTTTCATAATAAAATATATAGGAGAAAGAGTTTCCTGTAAGATCTGTTGTTGAATTTATGCTATTTAGGGGGCCTTAAATTTTTTCATAGTTGAGTACTTGGTTATTTTAAAACCCGTATCTGATCAAAAATGCCTCTATTGATTTCCAGAAATATAGTCCTCAGCTTTAAAAATGGAAATTTTATTTTAAAGCTCTCTGACGTACTGTTGAGACATATGTAAACATCTAAAATGTATATCTTTAATGTGCAAAGTGTTTTTATCATGTGTTTATTTTGTCAGGCCATGCTCATGTATCTTCAGTGGCCTTTAACCACACAGTGTCAGACTGCCAGGGCAAATATACTTAAGGACAATTCAGTCTTGTTAACAAATTATTTTATACTCAGCTGCTTTAAAGCTAATACTTACTAAGTAGTCTTAAAATTCAGAGCAACATCTTAGAAAATAGTTTGGTCAATGGTAACTTTGCTGTCTAGGCTTTTTCTACATTTTTTTTTTTACAAGTTCTTTCTGAGGTTTTTTTTTCCCCTCCCTTAGCAATATATAAATGAATACGTAGTAACTAATGACTTAGTGGTTAGATTCCAAGGGTACCTTTTTAAGGTTAGACTTCCAGTGCATTTTTTTGCTTCCTATTATTGTGAAATATTTGGGTGCCTTCAAATTGAACTCTTAAGAGTCATGTTTTAACAATTTGGTCTGTAAGCTGGTTACATTAGACATGCATCACTCTCTCGAGTTCCAGCTTGGATCTCTCCTGCCTGTGGTAGAAAGTGAACTGAACTGGGTGTAGGAACCCCTAGTTTCTGCAGTAATACATTTTGACGTTGGGCAGATCAATGTAGTCTCTGTTTTTAGTTTCCTCAGATATAAAATGGTGTAACACACCTACCCTGCTTACCAAGCAAAGTTGTTTGGAAATCACATGGAATAACATGCTCCCAAAACTCTGAACTGTTGAGTTTTATACAAAGCAAGGTCCTAATATTACCCATTTTGAAAATCATTGGTGTTTCCTGCTTTTTCTTCCTTCTCCTAACCGCAGTGTCCACCAGGAGGAATTTTGGAATGAAGCACTATAGATTTGTCTTGCTACTTAAACTTGATTTCCTGGTGTTAAATTTGGGTTTATTCAGAATTATTTGCTTGGAGGAGAAAAATTGGCCTTCTGGAGATAGCTCATTTATTATCACTAAGTAAAGTTGAAATACAGTTTTTCAGAACCCTTTCTTTGCTAGCTTTTCACTTTTCTTCTTCCTTTCATGCCCCCCCAAAACACAACCCTAGAATATGGATTAAGGGCATGGACTTAAGTGTCAGATTCCCTGGGATTGAATCTAGGTCCTCTGTGGCCCTTGAGAAGTTGACTTATCTTTATTACACCTAATTTCTTCATCCGTAAAATGGAGGTGGTAATATTGCTCTGTTTACAAGGTTGCTCTGTTTAAATAAGATATATGTAAATTGCTTAGCATGGGGCCTGGCACATAGAAAATGCTCAAAATGTTTTAGTATTATTACATAATTATTGATAATGATTTCTGAGAATCCATTCAACTTTCCCTTCTTTTAAATTAAAATGATGTTTTAATGCATTCTGATATATTCTCTGTATACTTCTTGTATTCTATATGCAGAATATAAATTTTTAATTTTGTGAAAAATGTGAACTGTTCTGTACTTAAGTTTTAATATATAAGTATTTTGCACTTTAACTTTCAGTAAGAAATAGTTAATATCTAGAATTTGTTACAGATTTTTAAAAGTATTAACTTAATTAACCAGAGTAGTTAAGATTTAACAAGCTTTTAAAGAAATACACCATGTATCAGGAAAAATATGTATTGTCAGATCAACTCTGTGATACAGGAGTTATTTTTTCTTAGAGTTTAAAAACTGAAGCTGAGTATTTGTTGGACCTACTACCAGACTAAAGCACCAAGAGGGTAGGATTTTGTTTTTTCTCTGTTCACCGTTGGGTCACCAGTGCCTGGCAAAGAGTGGGTAGTCAGTAGAAGTTTGTTGAGTACTGTAAATGAATCCTGTGGACACAGATCCTTGTTTCAGGCCTTGGTTTCCTTATTACTGCATCACAGCTGTCTCTGTTAGGGCTGCCTAGTGTGTTTTAAATACTCTTCAAGATCTTTATAAATCTGGTTGGCACATTTTTAAGTATACAAAATTAATGAGAAATGCAACTGGAGTAATGCTTGATGTCACCTCCCCAGCTGAGCTGAGGCTTGTATGTGAGGTGGTCACCCCTCCCACGCGGGCTGAGTAACAGTGGGGAGGTGGGGGTACAGTGAGGGGAGGAGGCAGCTTGCTAAACTCCTTGTCATAGCTTAATTCTTTTATTTCAATGTTGTGAATGCCTGGAATATATTAAAATGTAGAAACTAAAGCAGTCCAGCACCACATCTAAATAATTTTCTACCTTACTTTGATATTTTTATTCCTCTAAAATTTTTCTTTAGTGAGATTTAGTAAAAATCATTGTATTCATATTTCAACTCTTAAAGAATCTTAATCTTGGGATGCGTAAATTGCCCCCCTTTTTTGGTAACTTAACTGTAAACTCTGATTTACATATAAAATTCAAATGCATTTTCTTCTGCTGTATGATGGATTTTGCAGTCTATACTTATTGGACAGAATGTAGGCATCTTTCACGATTCTTGCCTGTCATTGGTGATGCTTTCAGAAGATGACCTCTCCTTGCTCCTTCTAAATCTTGTTCTGGGCCCTTTCATTCCTTACCATGTTGAGACCAAAACAAAATTGTCTAGGAGAAACTGATGTCTGTCATTTTCCTTACAGTCTGATTTTAGGCTAGTCTAGCATCTCATAACCCTGCTATTAGGAACCTTTCACATCTGAATTTCTTCTTTGTTAGTATAAACCCTTTTCTCCTTTTTCTTGGGTTTATCAGTTGCCTCAATATTCCCTTCATATGCAAGTACCATTTACCTTACATTATGCAGTAAGTGTCCCTGTTTAAATGTAAATTGAATCATAATATATTCTACATGCATTCGGGAACTTTTCTTTTAAAAGAAATCCTTTTGTAAAGCAAATAATTACCCGTTCATTATGTTTTGGGTTTGTTTTTGTTTTCTCTTTGGTTGTTATTGGCAGTTTTTTGTTTTATTTTTTGGATTTTCAAATACATGGTTTACTTAAATATAGGGTACCCTTAGAAGTGACTTCTAAGGTCATTGCTGAACTTTCTCTTTTCTGGGTTAAGACGCACTTTGTGATACAAGCAGTAATTTGAGGTTTTCTGCACTGAATATTAAGGTGGTTCTTTTCTAAGAAAGAAAACAACTTCAGCCTCTCTGTACTCAGGAGAAGGGCTTTTAAAGATAACATTGACTGGCTCTCATCACGCTGACTATAATCTCTTTGTGCCTACAGTCTGGCTTTACCCTTGCCTCCCTCTTCTGCGTTGCAGCTGGTGGACAGCGAGGTGGTCATGCTCTCCGCACACTGGGAGAAGAAGCAGACGAGCCTGGTCGAGCTACAGCAGCAGCTTCAGCAGCTTCCAGGCTTAATCGCAGATTTAGAATCCATGACAGCAAATCTGAGTAAGTTTTATGGTTGCGTCTATACATTACTTCTGGGAATGAAAATAAGTTGGTATAATTCCAAAGCTTTCTAAGACTACATTAAATTATTCCTTACCAAGATTTGGGGGGAAATAATGAGTTCTGATTAATTTCATATACTGATTAAGTGAGGATTAGACAAAAAATGATTTGAAGTATAGAAATGATTTCTAAAACACACCACTTTTTCTGCCTTGGTTCTGCTCCAGAAACATAATTTTGTTGATTCTTAAGGTGACTTAGGGTTGTCTTCGTGACTGTCAGTCTCTGTTTAAAAGTATAAATGTAGGAAATAAAAGGGATTAGGGTGGCTTTCTTATGACTATAGGATGAACTCTGGAAGCTGTTGCTTTTGAAATTAAGTCTGCTCAAACTTTTCACGTTCTTGTTGGCCATTTGCATTTCCTCTTTTGGAAAAATGTCTGTTCAGTTCTGCCCATACTTTAAATGGATTAGTTGGTTGGTTTGCTATTTAATTGAAGTTGATTTATAATGTGGTGCTAGTCTCTGATGTACAGCACGGATGGGCTTGGAGGGCGTTACGCTATGTGAAACAAGTCAGAGAAAGACAAACACTGTAAGATACTACTAACATGTAGAATCTAAAAAAAATACAAACTAGTGAGTATAACAGAAAAGAAACAGACTCTCAGATGTAGAGAAGGAACTCGTGGTTACCAGTGGGGAGAGGGACAGGGGGAGGGGCGAGATGGAGGTGGAGGACTGAGAGGTGCAAACTATCAGGTGTAAAACAAGCTACAAGAATGTATTGTACAACGCAGGGAATGTAGCCAGTATTTTAAAATAACTATAAATGGAGCATACCCTTGAAAACTTTGTGAATCACTATATTGTATCCCTGTAACATACAATATTGTACATCAACTATGCTTCAATTTAAAAAATAAGACATTGTAAAATAAACACATAAATAAATTTTTAAATGGTTTTAAAAAATTAGGTCTGCTCAGAGCTTCATGTCTTGAAATAGGCTTTTTTCCCCTCCGCAAACTGAGAGATCAGACAGATCCAGTTAAATGGGGTACCTGTTTGGCTAAATTTACACCTTGTGGAAATTTATGTTTCTGTTGGTTGTTTTCATTGGGATGACTTACGCTGGTACTCTTCATTTCTTGGATTTATATTCAGAAAACTAACTTTTGTGCTTGGCAGGGCCACAGCTTTGGATAATATTGTGGCTTATTATTTTCTAACCAAGCTTACGATCTTAGTGAAGTAAGAGGTAGGAGCTATCTACCTTGGAGATGAGTTTCGTGAGCTAATAACCTGATCCAGTCTTAATTGGTAGGGTATCCCTACCTTTTAATCACCTCTTCTTTTTTAAATATTACCTTTTTTAAAGCAAAACAAAGCTGATTTACAACACAAGTAATTAGTAAATCATAAAACAGGTTTTTGTGTGTGTGTGAATAAAATAGACCCGAATGGTATTTGCAGTGCTATTGCTGATAACAATAGCTCACGATTATAGCACCCACTGTGTGTCAGAATTTGTTCAGGGCTTTACAGATGTTACCTTCAATCTTCACTAGATCCCTGCGAAAGTAGCTTTTATTATCCCACTTTTCAGATAAGGAAGGTTAGGCTTGGAGAGGTTGTGACTTGTTCAGGGTCACACAATAAGATGTGGATCCAGGATCCCAACCCAGGGGGTGACATCCTCAGTGGGGGTGAGGTGGTTAGGATGGAAGCTGCCCGTAGGCCCCACGAACAGCAGTCTTGAAGCCCTGGCATCAGTGTTTTGTAATTTCTGAAGGCAGGGCATGGAAGAGAGATTCTGAGTCGTAGGATTAAGGCCCTCTGCATTATTTCCCTCTTGCAGGTGTAGGAATGAGCCTTCTCAAGTCTTTGATAACTAACTGATGGAAAAAGCCTCCAGGATATTTGGAATATTCCTTTTAGCCACTTTCCTTTTAGCTGCTCTTCCTGTATCTCTTTGAGTTACTTGCTTTCCATTGGTTGTGTATTTCTTTGCAGAGATACCTACGATAATAGCCCCTTCTTTTTTTTTCCAGCTGAGAGTAAATTCTGTTTATAGATTTTCTTTGTTTGATACCACTCTGCTGATGAAATGCCCTTTGCCACAATTCTAATTATTTTCATAGTCAATTCTGCTTAGGAAATGCAGTTTAAATAAGTCTTTCTTAAAATAGAATATACTGTATTTTCTTCTCAGTTAGGATTCTAATATCCTGGGAAAAGTCTGACATTTAGAGATGTAATACCTTCTCTTTGGAAACTGCATTTTGGCTTCTCAAATGAGTGGGGTGGACTTCCCAAGTGCTCACTTGAATTCTCTCTTTACTAATCTGAGAACATTGACCACTGAAAGCAAATTAAAGCTAAAGGATTCTCTTTATACTATATACTATATATATATATATACTATATATATATATATATATACTATATACTATACTATATACTAGTATAGACAGTCACTTCCAAGTAATTTGAATCATATTTTTTTCATTTAAGTAGTTAACATACAAGGTGGGGAGGGTGTAGCTCAAGTGGTAGAGTGTATGCTTAGCATGCACAAGGTCCTGGGTTCAATCCCCAGTACCTCCTCTAAAAATAAATAAATAGACCTAATTATCTCCCCCCAACCAAAAAAAAAAGCAATTAACATACAATATTAATTTCAGGTGTACAATGTAGTGATTCGACATTTATGTACATTGTGAATTAATCACCATGCTAAGTCTGGTAGCCTCCTGTCACCATACAGAGTTATCATAGTATTATTGACTGTATTCCCTATGCTGTATATCACACCCCCAGGACCAACTTATTTTATAACTGGAAGTTTGTACCTCTTAATCCCCTTCGCCTGTTTCACCCAACCACTCAGCCACCCTCTCCTCTGGCAACTATCAGTTTGTTCTCTGTGTTTATAAGTTTGTCTGTTTCTATTTTGTTTATTCATTTACTTTGTCTTTTAGATTCCATATGAAAGTGAAATCATACGGTAGTTGTTTTTCTGTGTGACTCATTTCACTTACTGTAGTATCCCCAGGGTCCATCCATGTTGTCACAAATGGCAAGATTTCATTCTTTTTATGGCTAAGTAATACTCCACTGTGTATATCTATATATTACATCTTTATCCATTCATCAGTCAGTGGACACTTAGGTTGCTTCTGTTATCTTGGCTGTTGTAACTAATGCTGCAGTGAACATAGGATTGTGTATGTATCCCGATCGGTCGGTCGGTCGGTCTGTCTGTCTGTCTGTCTGTCTATCTATCTATCTATCTATCTATCTTTCCTAATTAGTGCTTTCATTTTCTTCAGATAAATACCCAGGAGTGGAATAACTGGGTCATATGGCAGTTCTATTTTTTATTTTTTGAGGACCTTACATATGTTTTCTATAGTGGCTGCACAAGTTTACATTTCTACCAACAGTGTACGAGGGATCCCCTTTCTCCACATCCTCACCAACACTTGTTAATTGTCTTTTTGATAACAGTCATTCTGACAGATTGTGGTTTTGATTTGCTTTTCCCCGATAATTAGTGATGTCGAGCATCTCTTCATGTGTCTGTTGGCCATCTGGATGTCTTTCTCGGATAAATGTCTATTCCAGTCCTCTGCCTACTTTTTAATCAGATTGTTTGCTTTTGTTTTCTTGATATTGAGTTGTGTGAGCTCTTTATAGATTTTGGATATTAACCCCTTATTAGATATATCCTTTGCAGTATCTTCTCTCATTCAGGAGGTTGCCTTTTCATTTTGTTGATGGTTGCGTTTGTTGAACAAAAGCTTTTTAGTTTCATATAGGCCTGTTTGTTTATTTTTGCTTTTGTTCCTTTTGCATAAGGAAAATAATTCTGAAGCCAAATTTGGTAGGTTGTAGAAACATATATCTATTATCATTAATGTATTTTGTGAATTCATTTTAACGAGTTTATGCATCATTCTTAGATATTTGAATCATTTGAATTTAAATGTTTGTTCACATACTGTGGATTCTTTCATTTTTTGGTAGCCTCAAAATACTTTATCATCACCTAAATACCTTGGCATGATGTTACAAGGCTTAAATAGTCAGGCAATAATAAAAAATAAAAATAACTTAGAGGAAAATAATAACTCATATATATGTAGTCACAAGATTCTCTTAACGTCTTTAAACTTTTTACCCTTTCACTGTCAAATCCATATCCAATCAGTCCGTCCATTTTCCAGACTACTTAACTCTTTTAGTCTTGCCTTGCTCTCCAAAGAGTGTGCCCTTATTAAAGAATAAGGGATTAATATAATGTGAGCAATTTGGACCTTTGATGATGCTTTTAGCTGTGTTACGCTATGGCTTAAAAATATGACTCCTGATTACATGCTCCCTCAGGAATTAAGAACAGATAATCCATTCATGTTGTGTTTTTTTTTTTAATGTGGTGTGATCCATCCAGCTTACAAAAAGCCTGTGTAATAGGTAATTACTGGTAAGGCTTATCATGCAAAAAGAAATGATAAAGATATGCTGGGAATTCAAAAATAAGGGCCGTGGGCTGACTCTCAGATCTGGGTTTTGATCCCAGTTCCGCAACTCCCGATCTGTGAGACTCCGTGCAGGTTTCTTAACTGCACGAAGCTTTAGTTCCTTTGTTTGCAGAATTGAGGGTAGTTGTAGGGTTGAGTGAGATGATGGGTGGAAAGCACTCAGCACAGTGCCTGGTACATATTAGGTATCTGCTGAGTGTCAGGCACTGTTTGTAGGCTCTGGGCATGCAGCAGTGAACAAGACCGGGTAACTGCCACCAGGATGCTGACATTCTAGTGGGAGTCTCTCTAGCCGTTGCAAATTTACAAAGCCATCGTCTTTGACGGAAGGGTGTGGATGGATGTTACGCAATTTAGCTTGTCCTGCAAAATTGTTCAAATGCAAAACCATACATGAAATGTGGTGAGATGAGCAGTGTAGTGTTCTGTATAGTGAAAGGCAGTAAGGGTAAAATGAAATGTTGTCTTCCAGATTCTGTATCCTTTCTTATTCTGTGCATTTTATTGTAAAACTAGTGAACTGTTTGAAAAGTATTTATTGAATTCTCTTGAACTTCCACTAGAGGGTAGTCTAATCCTGTTCCTGTATTGAAGTTTATAATGTCAAGGGCTTGTCTGAATTTTCTCTATTGCTTAGTTTATTTTATATGACCTACTTTAAGAAGACTGTTACCTTCATCTAGAACAGAAGATTCTGTTAATTCTTAGATAACAAAGGGCTGTAAGAGAATGAAGGCTTTCTACTGCATTTGCGCGTTTCTTTTGACCTGACCTAACCAGATACGTCACTGTTTTGCTGTCTCTGTACAGAATTTGAGAGTGCCTCTAGCAGGGAGACAGTTACTAGGGTTTCATGAAACAGATTATCTTATTGTCCAGGTTATGTTCTGAAATTAGACCCTTCATTAACTCTCTTTAGGCACCTTTTAGTATATACTACACAGATCTCATTTGTTCCATAATGGCTTTTTAATGCATTGACTTAAAGTTCCCTATTACCATACCATCATTACCTTATTACCTTATTACATGAAAGAGTAACAAAAGCATTTGAAGACTCTTGTGGTCTTTTAGTACCTGGCCTCTGTGACCTATGGATTTGTAGTCAGATTCCTTGAGGCTAATTATTTTTCTTAGAAAAAAACTCATTAAGTGTGAAACTATTAATTTTAGCATGCTGCTTTATATTCTTCATTTATCAGTGGTTACACTACAGATAATACGTATTTGAACTAAATGGCACAAAGGAAAATTCCAAACAGAATGGCTCTTCCTCTGGGACGGTTTCCTCACAAAGATTTGTGAAGCTCTTTCCCGCACAGCTGTCAGGCTCTCCCAGATGGCTTTTCCCAGTAAAATTCCACCCATCTTTTCCACTGATCACTGAGTGAGACATATGCTCTTGTTACAGTGAGCAAAATGGTGAGGCTGGAGCTTCCTGTAAAGGTATATTTGTATCCACGGAGGCCTGCTAGTGTTTTATGTACATGCATTCTAAGTTTGGTTGCCAAATTTACTCATATCTGCAGTTTGTTTTGTAATAGGAGATAAGCAGGTTGTGACAGGAAGATTACATTCTGCCCATTTTTAAAATTTTCTAGTTTTTTGTTAATGGACATACTGGGGATTGAACCCAGGACCTCGTGCATGCTAAGCATGTGCTCTATCACTGAGCTATACACACCCCACCATGTCTATTTAAATTCAATACTCAGAATATATATCATATATATGCTTGTAATTATTAAAGAGATTTTTAAAGTTTTTAATATAAAAAGGGAAGAAAATTTATTTATTTTTTATTTTTTTGGAAGTGAAAATATTTCTTAAAGAGAAAACATGCTATAAGGAAGAAAATTTATTTTCATCAGTACAGTTCTTCTATATTTTATTACTGATTTGAAGTCTGTTAAAAGTTAAAATGGACAAGTTCCATTGCTGCTTCTGCTTTAACTCACTGGTAATGCGGCCTGATTTGGCACACTGATAACAAAGTACCATCATGTAGTTTAATGTTTTCTAAGTGCTATGTCCATGTTTAATTTATTTGTTTACAAAATTTAACATAACTTCCTAATATTTGAATTAGATGAACATGTCATAGATCTGCTTTCTTGGTTGTTATTTTATGTTTTAGAGTGATAGAATCATTCTGTGTCCAGAAATCATTCTTAATTGAATTCAGCAGAGTAGGTATTAGGGGATACAAAGATGCAAAAATACAGACTTTACCCTTAAGACTCTTAAAGATTCCTGAGAGAGATGAGCGCACACAGATAGTTGTGTGATGTCAGAGTACAAGTCCTGTGTCAGGTTCACAGGTCTGTGGAAGAAGCACAGAATGGGGAGCTGGCGCTGCAGGCTGCAGGGAGGGAAGGCACTGACCTGAGCCTGCGAGGGAGATGGGGGTGGGCAGGGAGGCTGGCGGAGACATCTCAGGGACAGGCAGAGGCAAGGAGGAGACGAGTGGTCTTAAAGAGTAGCAGTGAGATTGGGAAAGTAGGTTGTGGCCAGGGTGTGAGAGGTCCCTGAATGCTCAGGTAAGAAGTTAAACTGGATTCCCAAAGTCCTCGGGAGACTTTGAAACTTTTAAAGGGGAAAACTAGGAATATGAGTTTGGGGGTAACCATAAAATGATCACTGACTGTCCCAAGCCTTTTAAATCTAGCACAGGAATATGATGCTCTTGGCGTGTGTTTCGAAGCCTCACTCTTATCTAGTCCCCTAAATGTTAAGGATTCTTTATTAAATGTAATTATTCTGGTTCTTATCACTAATCAGAGTGAAATAGCATTTAAATAATCCTATTAGCTATGATCGTATTTTAAGAGTCTGTCAAACTACTTATAACAGAATGAGCTGAACACTGCTTCTTCAGGGCCAGTAGTACTAGCTCCCAGTCGTGTCTCCATTTAACATAACAATAAAAATAATCTAAATAGCAACTAATATAATAGCATCATTTGCCTGTTTTCCCCCACATAAACTCCTTATGTGCCATTTATGACATTATTAAAAATCTTATATATAATTTTTCATTGATTAAAAACTTAGATTTTGCAAATTGTTTCAGGTCAGGCTTTCTATAGGCACATATATTAGTGACCCCTGAAGATAGTTCAGAACTTATGAACTGCATGATTATCAGTCTTTTCCAGACTTATCATGATCTTCAGTGATACCTCAATATGATAAAAGTCATTACCTAAAATGTCTTTGAAGAGGAGTGCTAAACTGCTTGTCATCACTTTTTCACTTTTTAGTGAAGTTTTGTTTTCCCCCAGAATCCATGTCTTTAAGCCGTAGACCCTACCAAATAGAAGAGGGAGTTTTTGTAAGCATAGCTATTTAGTAGAGTTAAAATTTTGGATATTAGAAAATGTGAATGCTTCCAGATTTAATAATCTCTGGATCAAAGATTAATTAAAAACAATGCAAAATTTGCATCTTAATAAACCTAAATTTGCAAGTTGAAGTTAGGAAATTTGCTCCTAATGTAGATGCTGCAGGTGAAGGGAGGGTATAGTTCAGCGATAGAGTGTGTGCTTAGCATGCATGAGGTCCTGGGTTCAATCCCCAGTGCCTCCATTAAAATAAATAAGTAAATAAATAAACCTAATTACCTCCCTCCAAAACAAAAACAACAAAAAATAAATTTAAAAAAATGTAGCTGCTACAAAAGCTAATTTAGAAAGTCACATGACAACCTAATGGGTAAGGGAAGGAATTAGACAGAGCTCATGTCTGTCTGAGGGAGGTTGCACAGCCAGCTTGCTCCTTCCTGGCGTCTGTGACTTCCACGCTTGGGAGTCACGTTTCTTGCTGAGCCTCACTCTCCCTCATCTCTGAGGATGCCACTCTTTTGAGTTCTCACAGCACCTCAAGCCCAGCTCTGTCAGGCTGTGTCATCACTGAAATATGTTTTCCCTCTACTTTAAGCAGTTTGAGCTTGGGGACTGTCTTTTTCATCTTTGTGTCCCAGTGTCTGGCACATGTGATGAGTGTTCAGTAAATGGCTGTGATGCTGTCCAAGTTCTAAAATCTCTGACTCCTCTTCTGTTGTCTGAGAGAACAACCAGCCTTCACTCCTACAGCTAGAAAGTCTTGGGCTACTTAGCAGCTGTCATTGGAAATCATTGTGTGTAAGAAGGACTGCGTTTTGATTCCTGGGTGCTCTCCTAGCTAGGTGACCTTGGCGAAGGCACTGAATTCAGTGCTGCAGGCTTTGGCTTGAATCTTTTAAATGAAGGATTTGACTAGATGATCTCCGTGTTCCAGTGAAGCTGCCTCTCTGGCCTAGAGGCAAAAGGCCAGTGCTCAGTGCCCTGTGCTTCCTGAGTGTGTGTGCATCTCCGTGGTGCCCTGGGGAGTTATGTGTGTCATGTCCCCCGAAGAAACAAAGGCTGAAGTAACTTGGAATCTCAAATACCAAGTTATGTTCGATATCATTTGTGTTAATTATGTTTTACTGTATTCTCATAATTTGACAAGTGACCGTTCATGTGTGGGGATGGGATCATTAGGCTATCACACGTTAGATTAATGTAGATACTCTGTTCCTTCGTCCTGGTTAATAAAAGTATTTTGGAAAGTTACATCTTGAAAATGTTTGAAATATAAAAATATACTCAAAGAAAGATAATTTGAAGAATGTTTTAATGTTAGTGCATTTTATTTTGCTTCAAGAAAGTTTAATAAAAATATTAAATAAATGCAAAACAATCTCAGCAGTTTAGACTTTTAACTTTTGGACACTTTTCTCCATGATCAAGGATTCTGAGTTTTGACGTTTGTTTCTTCTTTTAACCTTATATACTTTCAGCTCACTTAGAGGCTAGTTTTGAGGAGGTAGAAAACCACCTGCTGAATCTGGAGGATTTATGTGGACAGTGTGAATTAGAAAGATACAAACATATGCAATCCCAGCAACTGGAAAATTACAAGAAAAACAAGAGGTGAGTTTGAAAAATTAGCCACAGTGTTTGCTTTGAATCAAAGTTCTCCAGAGTACTTTACATGCTATAACTTACAAGTTTATTCTGATAAAAGACAAAGGCTTCAGGTAAATCTCATTAATGAGCTTTCCAAAACATGATTTATTATTATTTTTTTGGTACCAGTATCTGCTGCTGTTTTTTGGAGATGAGTTCTGAAACACTAACAGGGGTAGAATAAAAGGGGAGGGGAGCAGTGCAGCGGGCAGGGCTTTCCAAGAAATTATAACCTCTGACCTCGTTTTCTCCAAAATGACAAGTCCCGCGCTGCGTCTTGCCTTTGCTTTCTTTTCTTCTCCTTTATTGTCAGAGCAGGAGGAAAAGGAACCCGAACCCCAGCTGTGGGAAGGGGCTCATGGGCTTGGATTTCAGTTTTGTTGCTTGTGGGTTATGCGACCTTAGGCAAGTTTATTTAACCTCTTAACCTCAACATGTGTAGGTTATAGGGAGGATGATAACGTACCACCTCACAGAGTCGCCGTGAGGATCAGATGAGACAGTCATTATTGGATGTGCTGTGTGCTCTGGAAGAAGTAGTGATTATAGTGATGATTTTCATTAGGCTAACCTGAACTGGAAACGGGCAATAAGATTTGGAACTGTGAAATTTTATTTGTCATTCTCTTCTTCACTCTCTCCTAGTGACTTAGACATATTAGATATATAATTAGAACATTATAATTTGTATGTTATAAAATGAAAATTAATTTAGTGTTCACAAAATATCCTTACCTGTAATTTAAGTAAAAGCCAAAGTGAGGGGAGCATAGTGGGGAGAGTATGGCTCAGTGGTAGAGTGCACGCCTAGCATGCATGAGGCCCTGGGTTCGTTTCCCAGTACTGACATTAAAAATAAGTAAATAAACCTAATTACCTCCCCCATCAAAAAAAAAAATCCGGAGTGTGCTGGACAAGTCTTAACATGTTTGACATAGTTGAAATGATTGAGTATTTGTCATTTTAGAGGTGGAACTGTATAGTAGAAAGAGCACTGTCATTAGAGTCGGTCTACCCAAGTCCTGGCTTCATCGGCTACTAACTGTGCTCTCGGTCAAGCTGTTCGCTTTCCTTTATACTTTATCCTGTCATAAAGCTTTGCTTAGTCTAGAATCTTCTTGACTAACATGTGAAAGACTCCTAAAAAAAATTACACCTTTTAAATACATTTAAATACGATAAACAGATTTGTTGACCGTACCTGTTACTCTGAAATATGTAGGAAAAAATGGTGTGCTAGTTGAGGACTACTGATTTATAATCAGTAGCTTGAAATCTATATTACCTGAAGATTAATGGTAAACTTTTCATGTTGATAGATCGATTTTTAAAAACTATAAAATTTACTTTCTATTTCTCAAGGACCATGTGAGATTAATGTAAGATGCTATATCAGTTTTGTTTGTTTTGGCGGGGGGAGATAATTAGGTTTATTTATTAAATTTTTTTTTTTTAGTGGAGGTACTAGGGATTGAACCCAGGACCTCATGCATGCTAAGCACATGCTCTACCAGCGAGCTATATCCTCCCCGACTTGTTTTTGATTTTGTTGCTTCTACTATAGGTGTGTCATATCAAAAAATCGTTGCCAAGACCCTTGACGGGAGCTTTTTTCCCATTTTCTTCTAGTTGTTTTATTGTTTTCGGTCTTACATTTAGGTCTTTAATGCATTTTGAGCTAAGTTTTGTGAGTGATGTAAGAGAGGGGTCTTTATGTGTGAATATTAAGTTTTCCTGGCACCATTTATTGACGGGACTTTTTTCTCTATTGAAGATTCTTGGCTCCCTTGTCAAATATTAGTTAACTGGATATGCACAGTCTTTCTGAAATTCTTAACCTAGTTTATTCAGCATATAAAAGGCTGAAGTATCCTCTTCAAAGAAACCTTTGGAATCCATTTGTTTAGTCAGTCTGTACACAGACTTGTATGTCTGTATGCATATGTGTGGCTGATTAACAGTCAGTTGTAGTATAAATAGAATTGGCAATACTGAGAAAGTAGAGCAGTTTTATTCAGTCAGATGTAGATTGATCAAAAAATATCTTTTCAAAAATAAAGCAGGTAGAATATTTACTATTCAGAAATGTTACATTTTAAGCTGCTTTTATTCAATCTAGAGGTTATCAAAACTAGCCTTCATACTATGCCCAGTATAATGACACCAAAATAGTTTTGATTGATAAAGAACTTTCATTTAACACAGTGGATTGAATGCAGTTACGTAGCTTTACTGAAATCCTACACAGGTTGGCTGTACGGGTGTGTGTGTGTGTGTGACGGACTGTGGAACGGGCAGACCAGCTGTCATTAGAGCTGAGGAGGAGGCTGAGTTACATGAAAACGTGTAGCTGCTTAGGAGCCAGCATCAAAGCCAAGGTTGTCTTTTTTTTGACTATTGAGTTGGAACAAGCTGAATCAGTCCCAGATGTTATCATTGCAGCTCTAGTTGAGAATGAATATGATATTTTGTCATATATTTGATAGGCATTCCCAGTACAGAGAATAAATCTCTGCCTCCTGTGAAAGGAGGGCTGCGACCCATTCCCCACAATGATGTGGCTTGCCGTGGCAGGGATGCTCACTGTGGGCAGAGGGAAACGCATAGGTTTAGAACAGTCCTAAGTGTGATTCCGATCGCTTTTACCTGCCCTTGAGAAACATTTAATGGTGTAACCTAAGTGTTTCTGCATTGAAGGACATCCTTCTTTAGCTCGTTATCTAATGAAAGGGACATATAAGCAACTGCATAGTTATGGGGGGAAATACCCATACATAGTTTTCCGATAACTCTTCTGCATATAAACTGGCACTACTATTACTGACCTTTTATGTACAGGAATGGCCACTGCTTTGCTAAATGGTGAAAAAATTGTGCAGTGGATTGAATATGGCTATAGGCAGAAGACAAGTGCTAGTCCCAGTAGCTACATTGTCAGTTCAGAAGATGAGTCAGCCGTACAAGTGTAACTCCTGGATGCCTTGCATAGGCTTTCATAACCAATAGGAAATATATTTCTTGTCTGGTAAGAAGAGTTAATGTGCAGTATATGAGCCAAGATAAAGAACGCGAAACCATTTACATGGTTTGTCTAGCTAGCAGTTAGAGGGATGGACTTGAGATGTGGGAGTCCACTTGCATTTGTAGTCACAGGTGTGGGGGAAATAGATGATAAATGTGTACATGATTTTATAACAGGATAATTTTTGACAACTATATAGGCTTTGAAGAATATAAGACAGGGTGATGTTACAGTGGTGGGGAGGGCTGCCTTAGCTGGGGTGAGCAGGGAAGGCTCTTCTTGGAGGACAGGTGAGAAAGACCTGAACGAGGAGGCAGCCCCAGGAGGACAGAGGATGACACACTTCTGACAGGGACAACAGGTGCAGAGACTGACAGGTAAGTTTAGGAGAGTGAAGAAGCAGAGCTAAAAAGAAATGTACATTTCTAGCCTTCTAAGTTCTTAATCTTTCCAGTACCGCCATAATATTCCTTAGAATGCTTATTGAGATTCTTTCATAATAATCGTATTATACTTAAAATCATACATACATGAGTAATTTAAAGTATTTTTTACTTTCAGACTTCTGGATCCTTTGTTTTCCCCTTCAGTATGCAGCATACCATCATAATTTCTCTGAAAATAGCTACATCTTGAAGAACAGAGTGATTTTAGTAATTCTGTTCAATTATAAATGACTCATAATTTTAGCACAGTCTTCCATTGGACTTGAAATCTGCTTAGGGGCACACTAAGCTCCAGAAGCATTTTTCACTGATTCGTTTAGACTTTGAAGCTTAATTGTTATCCCTTAGAAACTCTCCAGTGAGTGGAGGTCACTGCTTCTATTGATAAGGTTTAGTGCTCAGGCATATTTTAAGTCTGTATTCCTTTTGCTTTGTGTATTGTAGCTAATGTTAAGGAATTTTGCTCTTCTTTTTGTTTGTGTTTGTTTTTGTTTTTGTTTTTTTTTGTTAACGTTGACTATGGACAAAGTTTAGAAAATCTTGAAAGCAAGGCATAACAGATTTAAGATGTTATGGCATATCTTTAGTAGAATTTGACCAGTTTATGTCCTAGAGAATAACCCCCCAAATTCCTGGGCTTCAGGAAGTCGTGTCCAAACTAACCTGGACAGGTAATGGGCCATAGGTCTGACCTGTACTTCCACTTCAGGAGGTTGGGAATCGTGGTGCTGGGAGGTTTGGCAAGAGTGTGGCCACAGGCCTAGCTTTGCAGAGAATAGAACTGGAGAAACCAGTGGCATTCTCCTTGGTGAAGGTGGCTCTGGAAGCAAAAGTGAAGGTACCTCGTCCAAGGGAGATAGGCAGAAACTAGCTCCTGAGGTTGTGCACAGAGGTCCGTTTGGATGCTGAATGGAAAGTGGATCAGGAGAGCTTCCGCTCACACACTTCATTTACATAAAGGGTCCTCCCAAGGTGGAGTAACAGGGACCAGATTCACTCTCCCCCAGATACAACCAAAAACCAAAATAAATGAAATAATGAGTTTTTAAGACACTGGACATTGGGCCAAGAAGAGAGGTGACCCTTGATAGATGGAAACAGATGAGCCAAGCCCTGTGATTGCCCCGGCATTCTGCTTTGGGAGTTTTCCGGTTGGGAGGGGAAAGCCAGGTAGAGCCTGGCAGACTTTCTGAGTTGAAGACACAGAGCTGAGAGTCTGGGGACCCAGGCAGCTAGAGTTTACAGGACTCATACCAGAGAGGAGAGAGTCCTGAAAGTCTGCAGAGCTCTCCCCTTGAATATTCAGCAGAGGTCTGATAATGCATATGAGGAAAGTGCCCAAGGCAGGAGATAAAACTCATCTGAAAGGGTGACTCAGCAGTGCCTGGTGCTCACACAGGGCCTGCGCCCAACAGCTAGACTGAAAAAGTTTAGAGTTAATGGGGCATTGGGAAGATCACTCAGGAAAGTCATCCCTCAGCCAGGGTGTACTTAGC